CGATGCAAATTTTTTTACAGTTTCAGCGCTCGCATTCGTATGTGTCAGCACTAAAGCTTTATTTATCCCTTATATCTGCGTTCCATATTTTTGTTTACTTGGCATAATTCGATCGCACTATCATAATTTTATGATGGATTGCTTACTGGGCATTATTTGACACACTATTCATGAGTTTATAATGGATTTTCCAACAGGAGAACAATATCTGCCTTCTTGTGAAATACTTTAATGTCATGAACTTTTTCGTCTTGCTTCAGTTTTCACGTTACGAGGAAATTCTTAAAAAGAAGAAAAAAAAATCGATTGGAAGCCGCTCTATTTAATGAACAATTTCAAAGCAAAAGAAATTTTGATGCTTTACTGAAATTCGAGTTCATGTTCATGATCCTAAAATCTCCATAATTGTTTTCTACTGCATTCCGGGGCTAAGAAAATTTATTTCAAGGATCACTTATACTTCCTGACGCCGGAAGCATCTTCAGTGCTTTAATTAAGTGTATTTACGCCGGGATCATATTGAATCATTTAAATTTAAATTAAATTAAATTCAGGCATTAATCCGATTAATCTATTTCTCTCTATTGCTTCAAAATTTGCACCAGTATCATCTTAGGGCATTTAAATTTACCTTAGAGAAAAATATAAATTGAAGACATTTAAATTTACGCGTAAAGATACCTCGCATACGAAGATGTTTATTGCTTCAAATATATGCCTTACAGCAATAACGTATTAGTCATTTAAATTTATCTATGTAGGTACTATTTCCTATGCCATTTTCAACATCTCTTTAATCTTATTTTATTTATGGTACTGAGTTGAAAATACAATCAATAACATTCGCAATTATGATAACTAATAGCTACTATTTCCTATGCTATGTTTAACATCCTTTTAATCTTCTTTTATTTATGGTACTGAGATGATGATACAATTAATAACTTTCGCAATTACGGTAACTAATACTATTTCTTATGCCATTCTCAACATCTCTTTAACATTCTTTTATTCAAGTTACTGCGATGAAGATAAAATTAGTCACGTTATTTTAATGCCATTTTCAACATCTCTTTAATATTCTTTTATTTATGGTACTGAGATGAAGATACAATCAATAATGTTCGCAATTTATGGTAACTAATATTATTTCCTATGCTATTTTCAACATTCTTTTAATCTTATTTTATTTATGGTACTGAGATAAAAATGCAATTAATCACGTTATTTTTATGCCATTTTCAACATCTCTTTAATCTTCTTTTATTTATGGCACTGAGATGAAGATACAATCAACGATGTTTCTCAATTTATGGTAACTAATATTATTTCCTATGCTATTTTCGACATTCTTTTAATCTTATTTTATTTAACCTACTAAAATGAAGATACAATTAATAGCGCTCGCAGTCATGGTAAATAATACTATTTTTTATGCTACTTTCAACATCCCTTTAACATTCTTTTATTTAACCTACTAAGTTGAAGATACAATTAATAACGTTGGCAATTATGGTAACTAATACTATCACCTATGCTATTTTCAACATTCTTTTAATCTTATTTTATTTAACCTACTAAGATGAAGATACAATTAATAGCGCTTGCAATTATGGTAAATAATATTACTTTTTATGCTATTTTCAACATCTCTTTAATCTTCTTTTATTTAACCTACTAAGTTGAAGATACAATTAATAACATTAACACCCCCGACACCACTGAGAACAACAGGGTTGGACAGCACGCACTTAAGCGCGCTGCCTTCGTTGGTTAAAAAACTTTTCTTGCTGTGAACGCTTCTATTTCTGCTCTGAACCTCCGCCCGTTTTGGCAAGCCTCTCGGGAGCGTTGAAACCAACCGTGTAGGTTGAACCCTACCGTGTAGGTTGAACCCCACCGCGTAGGTTGAACCCAACCGTGTAGGTTGAACCCCCACCGTGTAGGTTGAAACCCACCGTGTAGGTTGAACCCCACCGTGTAGGTTGAACCCCACCGTGTAGGTTGAAATCCACCGTGTAGGGTGAAACCCACCGTGTAGGTTGAACCCCACCGTGTAGGTTAAACCCCACCGTGTAGATTGAAATCCACCGTGTAGGGTGAAACCCACCGTGTAGGTTGAACCCCACCGTGTAGGTTGAACCCTACCGTGTAGGTTGAACTCCACCGTGTAGTTTGAACCCCACCGTGTTGGTTGAACCCCGCCGTGTAGGTTGAAACCCAGCGTGTAGGTTGAACCTTGCAGTGTAGGTTGAAACCCACCGTGTAGCTTGAAACCCACCGTGTAGGTTGAAACCCACCGTGTAGGTTGAACCTTGCAGTGTAGGTTTAACCCTGCCGTGTAGGTTTAACCCCACCGTGTAGGTTGAACCCCACTGTGTAGGTTGAAACCCAGCGTGTAGGTTGAACCTTGCAGTGTAGGTTTAACCCCGCCGTGTAGGTTGAAACCCACCGTGTCGGTTGAACCTTACCGTGTGCCTCAAATCTTACCATTTGCCTCCTTGATATTCATCAAACCCTTCCAATTGTATCAAAATTCAACATGTGCGACGAACTTCACTTATAAGCCTTGTTTGGGAATAACCAAACCGAGTGTGTTAAATTTATCCGCGTGTGTTAAATCCAAACGTATACGTAAAGTACTACCATGTATACGGCAAACCCCAAATAAATAAATGCGGCAAATAAACCATTTGCAGTTAATCTTACAGTGGAGCTCAAACACCAGCCAACGTGTAGTTAAACCCTTCTGTGCGTGTTAAACTCATCCGTATACGTCAAAAAAACCCCACCGTGTTCGTCAAACCCCACCGTGTAGTTAAACCCCTCTGTGCGTGTTAAACTCCTCCGTGTACGTCAAAAAAACCCTTACCGTGTTCGTCAAACCCAAACCGTGTACTTAAACCTTTCTGTGCGTGTTAAACTCCCCCGTATACGTCAAAAAAGCCCCACCGTGTACGTCGTAAAAGCCACACCGTGTTCGTCAAACCCCAACCGTGTACTTAAACCCCTCTGTGCTTGTTAAACTCCTCTGTATACGTCAAAAAACCTCCTCCGTGTACATCAAAAAGCCCCACCGTATTTATCAAGCCCTACCGTGTGCAAGTAAACACACCACGCACATCTAGAGAGGCTCTGGCTCTAGCTACGTAGCTTCCTCTAGCTCTAGTAGCGGACAAACTAGAGCCTTGGCACAGACTGCTGCTGCAGTGGTACGTGTGAGCTCTTTAACATACGTGGCATACGTGCTGCCTCTTACGTGCTTGTAACATACGTGCTTGGGAGGCATACGTGTTACATATTACGTGCTTGTAACATAGGTGTTAGGAGGCATACATGTTGCATATTACGTGCTTGTAACATAGGTGTTAGGAGGCATACATGTTGCATATTACGTGCTTGTAACATAGGTGTTAGGAGGCATACATGTTGCATATTACGTGCTTGTAACATAGGTGTTAGGAGGCATACATGTTGCAAATTACGTGCCTGTAACATACGTGTTTACAACATACGTGCTTGTAAGATACGTGCTCGGTCTTACGTGCTTGCGGGGTATAAGGATTAAGTTTCTTATTTGCTTTAGGTTGTATTTCTGGCCTGCTATTTATGTTACACATCTCATTTACGCGTATTTTAGACCAAGATGATGTTTGATTTGTTAAAAATTTGTTATATGATTACTTATTTCGTTTCGTACAACGTACTTTTGCATTCGTGCCTCTCGTAAATAAGTTTCAGGTTCCAGGGGTTATGCGTCGCTGATCTCAAATTTTACGTCGTACTTATTTTGAATTTGGTTTCTACAGGCTTAAGATTTTGCACTTTTAGCGCATCACTTTCTTCAAGTCGTAAAATTGATCGGGTTTTCGAATCATACGTTAGTGGGATTTTTTTGCCTGCTTGTATTGGATTATGCGTTGTGCGTTTTTTGATCTTCGGGCTTTAACCTTATCGTGTTAGAGATTTTGTGTAACACAAAATCTCTAACACGAAATGCTCAATACAATATGCTAAAGAGTTCGCATCTTCGCCTTTTTTGAGGTTTTGCGTCTTGACTGCTGTGGAAAAAATGAACGCACGGATCGCTTATTGTCATTACTGCACAACTTTCTTTTAAGGGTTATTAATTCCGAACCAATTAATAATCAAGGGTTATTAATTCCGAATCAATTAATAATCAAGGGTTATTAATTTCGAAGTGCGTATAATTAACGACCACTGAAGTTTGGGTACTTTCACTACCAATATTTCTGTCTCTGCCATAATTTTGGTCTCAACAATATTAATAATTTTTTACTCTCTGTGATTGTTATAGTTGATTGTTTTATCGGGAAATGAACGACCAGTTGTATGTTTCTGGCCCCAAAAATCTGGGCGCAGTTATTTTCTTTTTATGGATAAAATTAACAAATATGGATCTGGATATTTTAAAATGACGATGACGCCATATCTTTTAGTTTCTCATGCTATTTTTTTGTAAAATGATTATTTTTAATTTGTTATGTTATCAATTATTTCCACCACGCTCGAGCCTATTTTACCGCGACCTTGGAACTGCAGATAATTTTGTTTATTTGATTGATTAGCTAAGTATTTATTTAATATATATGTAGGAATTACCCGTTGGCAAAGAAGTGTTTTGAATTTACTCGAACCTGTTTGTGCTACAACTATAACTATCTTGTTAATAATGCACACTCATTATCACGATCCAGGTACAACAAATTCATAATTAGACAATCGACTGGTTCTCATGATTAGAAGACGATGGAAATCACCAATTCAAACAAACTACACGTTGTTATGTAATGAATTTGAAAAAATAGCATATTCCGTACTGTCATGAACATTATTACTTTTTAATATTTACGAAGTACGAAAAAGTTGATTCCATTTGGGTCATGAAGTGAAACATTTTTTGATGAACTGGTAGTGCGATGGTGATAAAACCAGTTAAATTGAAACGTAGAATAGATGTTAAAGAAACCCCGGTCGACATGGCGATGGATTGTGTTGAATGGTGCAGGAATTCTTGGCAGAAAAGCGTGGATGCCTACGAGTGGACCAAACATGCGTGGGCAAATACAAAGCAGAAAGTTCGGGCAGCTTTCTTATGGATTTGGCTTATGTTTCTGGCCGTGGTGGCCGCTGAAGAATCTGGTGAGAAGTCAGTGAAATCTGGAACGGTAAATGACATCGAGATTGAAAAAGATCCCAGCAAAAGGATTGAGGTACTAGACGCCGAGATTGAAGAAAACTCCGGAGAGGCAAAGAGACGCAACCAGGAAAATTACGAAATAAAAAATGGTGCTGCCGAAAAAAGAGAATCGATTTCGATTGGTATAAATGAATCACCAGATGAAGTCTCCAATGATGTATGGGATGAGGGTGATAAAGTCCTTCAAGTGGTTCAATCAATTGATTTCAAAAATCGAGAAAAGGTAGAATGCCTGCCGACCGAAATAAGCTTTCAAAAGCGGGAACGATACCCGTTAAAAATTGACGCTTCGGCTTGTACAATCGTCGAGGAAGATGAAGAGGAAGAGGAAGAAGATCAAGAAGAGAAAGAGAAACAATGGAGAGTTGCAAATGGAGGTCTCATTAGGTCTGCAGGTCTTGAGAATCTCTCTATCAAATCTGAATCCTGCGGCGACGATCTTCTTAACAATCGATTGACGTCAGGCAAGGACGCTGAAATTATTGATGAAAATAGTGTTAAATGCGAGGTTCTCTGGCAAACTTTAGTTGCGAAGTACGCGAGTGACGACAAGATCGATAAGCTTAGTGAAAATGAGAACGCTAAAGCCATGAAGGCTACATCTTTTGACGATTCCGATTCGTCGACTATGCTAAAGACCGATTCGTCGACTATGTCTGATCTAGAGTTCAGTGTAGCTGTAGGGAAGCGACTTGAAGAAATATTAGCGAATGACAACTTGGATACCAGAAAAGAATCGACTGAACCCAACGAAGAGGAAGAAGTGATGGAAGATAGAAAGGAGCTGTTTGCAACTCAAAATATTGGATATTCAATTGGAGAAAACTTTTCCGCAACACACAGAACCATAAGTGATGATGGAGAGAAGTCACTTCATAAATTTATTCCTCAAAAGACTACAAAACCTGATATTCGCAGCCTCAGAATTGAGACCATCGATGAGTCTCAGGATGACGTTCAGCCTATCTTCATAATTCCAAAAATTTCACTTCTCGATAATGATGAAGCGCCAAAACCCGAGCCTGGTAGAAATTCAAGACCAAATCTGAGGAGTTTGAGAATTGAAACTTTGGATGAATCAGAAATTGATGAGCTTAACGTGACTATCAAAGCTACTGAACCAGTTCGGATTGAACTTCCTCAGGACGAGAATGAAACTTTGGTCGAGAGTGATGCATGCCATTCTCAAATGTACGATAGTAAGGAAATTGTTTCTTTCGATACAATTCCAAGAACTTTGTTAAAAGAACCAAGAACTGAAACCATAATGGAGGAACCTTTAGAAGAAGAAAAATACAGCGATGCTACGTTTACGGAACATATCTTGGAAACCTCATCAGAAAAGGAAATCGAAAAAGACAAACTCAATGATGCCGTTGAGTCGGCAGATGTGGATGAAAGAGTCTCCGAAGAAGACTATGGCGAAGAGGTTGCGGTGGTTGCGGACTTCTCTTTCAAGTTGAGACCAAAAGAAAGGGATACCCTAAAGTTTGGTATCAAGGAAGAAACGGCTTCTGGAGCCTTAGCAATAGACTTGGATGCACGTAGTTCTCCACCTGTCACTGCCAATACTGAGATCCCGAATGTCGATAATGAAATTGAGCGGCCAGTCTCACAATCGGATTCTCAGTCAGATATGATCGTGAATGAAGACGACATGTTTAGAGGGAATGTGGCTAGAAAATCATCCGGCACTGTGATTGTGACTTCGTTTGTTTTCGATGCTATTCCGTTTTTAACCGATGAAATGCCAGTAACGATGCCTAATATAATTACTGTCGAGCCTGATAACAACATTGATTACGATTATCTTCCTAAGTCAGAACTACCAATAGATTCTAGTGTTCTCCCCGAGTTTGAGGTATCATCAGAATCCTGTGTGCACCCTGAGTTAGAACTACCACTAGACTTAAATGTGCCTCCTGAGTCTGATCTACCACTAGACTCCAACGTGCCTCCTGAGTCTGATCTACCACTAAACTCCAATGTGCCTCCTGAGTCTGATCTACCACTAGACTCCAACGTACTCTCTGATTCTGATCCACTACTAGACACTACAGCACCTCATGAATCTGAAGCTTCATTGCCATCCAATGCTCTAGTTATGTCTGACTCGAAACCAGAATTTGATATTCCTTTCGCTTCAGACTCATCGTCGCTAAATCTCGATGTTACCGTCACGTGTGCTGTTCCTGACCCGGATCTACAAGATGCCGATAAACAGGAAGAAGACTTCGAAGAGTTTCTTCACGACGTCATGAGACCAGTAACTCAAATGAAGGCAGACGAAGATATCGTGTCGATTGCACCATTTGACAATGAAATACCAGCTCTCGAAGATCCAATTGGAGATATTCCTTATGGCAACTTATTCGCCATTCCATTATTTGAACTCGAGGCAAATTATCACCACGATCTTATCGAGCAACTTGAGCGTTCAGACGTGGTAGAGATTAATGAAGGTAGTGGAAATCATGAGGTAATGGAACCAAAGGAAATGGGAAAAGGAACCTACTTTACTGAACACGAAAAATTCAAAACCATAGGACATAAGACTGAATATTCACAGCCGGATGGATTAAATAGTAATTTGAAATTTAAAGTATTTCCTGTAAATGAATCAGAAAGGGTAGAGGCGGATCGTGAAACGTTAAAAATGGACGTTGAGCTTGAAAAGAATAGTACGGAAAAGAATAATTCTTCTCAGTCTATCACCGTTATAGATAGAGAAATTCAATCAGAAAACATTGAAATGACGGATGATAATATTAAAACTGAAGATATCCCCAAAGTGGATGATAATTCGGAAACTGTAATTATATCAATGGATGAGCCCAATAAATATGCAGACAATGCATTGCAGGATGACGACTTTACGAAAACAGCAACGAGTGAGCTTATGCGAGAAGATAGCGAATCAATTCTAGCAGAGAGCTTCAATAAACAGGAGGAAAACGCAGAAATCTATGGAGACAACACAACTACTGATAATGGAGTGTACAAAGTAATAAGCAGTGATCAACATACCGTTGAAACTGAAGAACCTTGTATAATCTCAGAGGATAATGTTCTTACAAAAGACGAGGAAATGGAAATATTTGTTCAAGATGCGCAGCCGGTGTCTGATGAACTGGTGAATGAGGATCATGGCATTGAGAGTACCGCATCAGAACTGGCTTCTTCCGCTAATATTATTGTCGATGATTTCGAAAACGACGAAAGTGACGAAGTCGATTTTTGGGGGACTATCCGCGGTAATGAAGATGAAGCTGATGTTTTTCCTGGCAAAGAGACCCAAAGAGAGTTTGGTGAAAATTATGCCGCAGAACCCATATATATTGAAAATATAAAATCTTTCGCTACCACAGAAAACCATTCTGATATAGCGGAAGATCTTGAGGTGGATAATGAAAAAGATGTTTCCTCCGTGATAAATAACGAGGTTGCCAATGAAGCTATCATTGATGCGACAGAAAAAGTGGCCGATCTATCGAAAGTTCTCCAAAACGCAGACGATGAGGAAGGGCGCATAAAATCTACTATTTCAGTAAAAAATTTCGAACGACCTGCTAGAATTATCGGACGAACAAAGTTTTTTGTCGGAGAAAGTGACGAAATATCTGATGACGATGCCGAAAAGGACGTGAAAAATACCGGTACATTCGTTGATGATGACGTTGCTGCTGGATATAGTACTACAGGTAATCTTTTTAGCGATACCGTTGTTGACGAAACTTTCAATATTATTCTAGATAAAGAAGCATCCATGGAAGCCGACGAGAGTTCCGCCAGTATCAAGAAGGGTATTCTCGACACGACAGTCTACGACCTAGATTCAACCTGTGATTCAAAAGACGTTTTTGAAGCAGATTCGAATGAAAACCGTCAGGCCATTGCAGATGACAATGTAGAAAGTGAAATGACAATTGGTGCAATCATAGCTTCGCACCTTCGCAAGACAGAAGAGGTAAATGACGACTTGTCTGATATCAGTGATTTGTTGTCATCTACCGTCGAACGTAAGAAACATCTTGGTGATTATGATGATAATTATTCTGAAGACTCGCCAGATGAAAAAGATAAGGATGACCAGCGATTGATGACAGTCGGGCTCACTGCCGAAGAGGAAGCTGAGCTCGCAGAGCTCGCTGAATTCGATAAAGAGAAAACCGAGGGCGAGTTTAGAGAGTACATGAGGTTGCCACCTGCCTTGACTCAGCAAGAGCTCGAAGAATTGGCGCTTATTCAAGAAGAGAAAGAGAGCGCTCAAGCCACCAGAGAAGCTGAAAGAAAAGAGCTAGAGAAATTCCTGAGCATGCCTGTTGGTCTTACGGAGAGAGAACAGCAAGAGCTGGCAGATTTGTTGGCGGAAGAAGCCGAAGAAAGTGAAATATCGGCGGCCACTGAAGAGCGACTCGCAACCTTCTTGGCCGCCGCTCGCGCTGAGAGTGGCCTGGCATATGATGAAGATGACGAAGATGTTCTTGACGGTTACATGAATATGCCAGACAGACTCACAGAGGAAGAGGAAATGATGCTTAGGGAAGGCACTGATGGAGAAGTTGATGTTTACAGAGACGAAGAATATCGAGAAATGATCCGCAAAAAATTTCTCTCGGAACTCGAGGATGATGAAGATAGAGTGCTGTTGGACGAGTATGAATTTGCTGAACAGTATGGCTCAGATTTCGAATATGATGAAAATTTCGGGTATGATGACGAAGATTTCTTAGAAGAAGATGACATAAAAGGAGTTTCTGATACTAAGCCGGAAGTTAAATGTGCTGATATTAGCAGAGCTGCTGATAAGCCTGTGGTTCCACCAAGGAAATCTAAATCAACGGCGCCTACTGTTGATAAAGAATTTTCAAAATATAAACATTTTGGCTCAAAATCCGCTGAAGCTTCTACCTCAAAGGAAGCCAAACCATCAATGTCTAGCGATCAAAACAAGCAAGATTCTCAGAAGAAGTTTTTTCGCTTAGGAGCCCTTGGAATCAAAAAGAAAAAAAAGGTAACTGAAGATGTAAAAGAGTCGGATTTTTGCGTCGTTAACTATAAAACCGTTCGAAAAAAATTAGAAAGTTCACAATTGCGAAAAGATAGTGGCTACTTCAGTATTGATGACTCAGCGGGTAACACTACACCTGTTTTGAGGCGCAAACATTTTTTTGCAAATGATTCTCCTGGTGAACAAATTGTTAGCCCAGGCGCCTCTATGAATTCAGATTGCGTCAAAGATTTGAGTCGTGACGAAAAAACAAATGCCGAGTGTAATAAAGATTCTATCGAAGATTTTGGTTTCTTTAAAGTGGCAGTGGATGAACCAAAAATTGATTGCATGGAAACAGAGATCGGATGGAGGCATGCGCAGAAAATTCCATCGCCGATTCTTGAAAGCTCTTTCCTCGGGCGTAACGAAAAAAAAACTTTCGACATTGCAAGAATGTTGGGAAATGAAAAAGCGCAACAGGATGTAGCGAACCCGAAGAAGAGCATTGACGATTTTTTCAGTCTCCAGCCGAATGCAGGAGATTTAGAGTTACAAGTTTTTGAAGACAGCAAAAAAAAATTTAAATCCGGTTATCCCGAGAAAATTTTTTCTGAAAATCAAGACCACCATGAAGTTAGAGATGAATCTCTGCTCAAATATTCTGTAGAAATCGCCCAAAACAATGATCTTAAGGCGAGAAAGCAAGCGAAAAAGAAGAAAAGAATAAGTGTTAAAAATCTTATTGAAAAATTCTCAAAAGATCAAAAGGAAAGTAGTCGATTTGTTTTTGTTGACCCAATTAAAAAAATCTCGTCCAATTTTGAAGGACTTCCAAAAGCGCGTGCGATCACATGCTCTAAGATAACTGATAACAATCAAGGTCCACAAATTATTTCTAAGGAAAAAATAACCAATTTTCATGCAATCGTTGATAATGGCGATATCAGTAACCACGCAATGTATGGGAAACGAAAACCTAATGAAAGAAATGTGTGCGATCTACACGATCCTCAGGAAGAAATTATAACGGTTAAATGTGTGGAGAATGACTTCCAAGATCTCAAGTCTGAAGAGAGTGTCATACAATTTAAAGGTGTGAAAAATGACGTCCTAGATCTTGTCAAGTGCCAAGAGGATATTATCTCGAATAAAGGTTTGAATAATGACAGTCAAGACCTTGTCACGCGCCAAGAGGACATCATATCCGCTATCAACGGTCAAGATAGTGCTGATGATCAAGAAAATATTGGTCAAGCCGGGAAAATTTATTTGGCTGACAATTCTTCTGCCGATGATATCAATTTCATAGCGTGCGATGAATTTGATGGAAATTCAGGTGATTACAAGGAAATGAGTTTAAATGAAATCGGTGGTGAATTAGTTCATGATAACGAGGACACAGTCATCTCTAATGAGACAGTAATTATAAATAATTTCGGTGTAATAAGCACGCGAGAAGAAATTTCCTTCAATTCTATGACTGGCGTAGATTCGACTGGAAGTTTTCTGGCCATAAAAGTTGCTGAAAAGAACTATTGTTTGCAAGAAAATAAACCAACTGTATTAAGCAGTAATGGTGAGTGTTAAATGTGACCCTCCACTCGTTAAATAAAGTTTCATTGATCGTTAAATATTTCGTCTCCAGTTGCTGTATATATTCGTTTTTTTTTTCTGCCAGGAATTCAAATGTTTCTTCCATAGTTATATTTTTTAGCGGTATTGTGTGTAACTTGCCGGAGATTATATTAAGAATTGATAATAACAAATAATTGTATTCCGTGAGTTGATTGTGTGAGTTGATTTTGGTACTGAAAAACTGTACCAGCGAAGAATTTTCATAAAAATTTTAGAGAAACGAAATTCTCCTAATTACTTATTTGAAGATACGGATCTTAATTGTTGGTCAACGTGCTGCGACGCTATAGAATCAACTACAATGTTCTTACTGTATGTGTTGTCTTTATTTTAATTGAAAACGAGGCTTGAAAGCTCATTTCTTTGTTCTTCCTCGTTGACGCTTGTTTTTCATTACGATGTGGGACGGGAAAGTTTATGAATGTGACTTTATTCATGGCGTAAATTAAGGAATGAATGAATAAATGGGTCACGCAATATAACACACAACATTGTTGAGAAATTTGGACAATAACTTGCATTTAATTCATTCAAATGCAGTATCACAGATTCCTGTTAAAATCCAAATTGATTTAAATTGCCAACTGTGCTGTTGTATGAATATATTGAGGCAAAATTTAGCGCAAGATTGATCGTAATTTAGTAATATTCCTGGCTTGAGATTACATCTGCGAAACTTTGTAACTTATTATATACTGTATAATATTATTCATTCGAAATATTCAAAAATATTCTGGCTTCTTCTGGACACGTTGATTTTTGTTTATATTTAGTTTATGCCTTTAATTTTATCGACAGATGCTTTTTTTACGCTCATGATAATAGGTCAATATACCGTTTTCTTCTTTAATTTCCTGTCGGATGTATTTTATCTCAAGTTTGTTTTTATGTTATGGAATCTGGTCCTATTCATTTCATTGTCAAAAATCATGTCCGTAATATAAGGAACTTTTGGCTGTGATATTCTTTAAAAATTTCGTTTGTAGCGCATTTTTTCATTTATAAAAAAAGGCGCTATTGTACTCGCCCTGTCCGTCCGTCTGTCCGTCCGTCCGTCTGTCTGTCCGTCCGTGACTTCACGTTTTCGTTGACGAGAAAATGCGCTCTCTGTCACTCACTGCAGTGAGTACTGAGTTATATTTTTCTTTCATTTATTTCGTAGTGTTGTTCCCAATAAAATTAATAAATCCAGAAATATAATACAGATTATCTTTTACAGGTCACGCTCCTCTTCTCAAGATGTCTTCGCGGGACGAAGATGTTTCTGTAAGTAATAAAACTGATTTTGTTGACGTCGATCTGAAAATGTCATCATCATATTCATCCACTACATCACCGTTGAATGTGACCGCATCTGCTGATGATTTCAATCTTGATAACGCGGATGATGTGTCATCAAATGTTGATTCATTTACATCATCGAAAAATGCCTCATCATCAAAATCAGCTTCGCCTTTATCATCAGTTGGTGTGCTGAAAACCTGCGGGGTTAGCGCGACTAACTCAGTTAATTCTGTTGATTTAACTAATCATCTAAAATCTAATGGGGTCTACCCTAAAGCTTCAAGTTTAAATGTCCAGTCTTGCCTTGTTAAAAGCCCTGACAATGTAAACATTGATGTGCTTGAAACCCATGCCGAAACTCCTGATCATTTAAAACTCCAAATTTTTCACGATGATGTTCCAAAAAAAGATACTGTACATTCACTTCATGGAATGGATTTTCAGACTGGAAATCCCATCTTTGGATTTAATGGCGTTAACGGAAAGTCAGACGTTACTGGAAATAATTTCCAGTTTCACGAGGAAATCGGTCTCTACGACGGGGAAACTGAACATCCTTCGTTGCAAGATCTCATCGAAGCTGAACTGTCGAGCCGTTTCAGCTTGCAAATGGAGCCCGACTCCTTAGAAGTTTCTGCTTTTGCCAATTTGAAAAAGTTTGATGAACGTGAAATTTGCGAAGATTCATCGATCATTGCACATGATTCGTTAGAGCCGATGACTGGATGTCATCCGTACAGCATGGATTCGCTAGCCGAAACCGATGCTGAAATTCTGAATCACGAAATTGTAACAAGCGAAGACATTGCGGAGGAAAATGTAACTAATAATATTCAGCCAAGTGTTCATATTGATGAGCCTGAAGCAATGGATTTCAGTCATCTGAAAACTACAGCTGAAGCTGTAAAGCCAGACTCATCTTCGGAATTAGCTTCTGAGTTTCCATTTGAAAATAAAATTTCTAATGAAGCCTCCCTTCATCTGAAAATTTTGACAACGTTTAAAAAATCAACCAGCGACTCCACAGAAGTTGAAACTCAGGCGATTGCACTTGATACTGAGGTTTCTGAACATTCGCCAGAAACCAAAGTTTCAGAATCTTCACTAGTAGACGAAGTTTCTCAAGACTGTTCTGAAAAATACCAAGGCGAATTGAAAATTAAGTCAGGAATGAATGATGCTGTCATTGAGGTGGATTTAGGTTCCTGTAATGCTAATCATTCATCATCCAACGTCTGTAATAAACCGACCGTCAATTGTGACTCATTTGTTGGAGCTAATTTTGCGCATGAGACGTGCGAAAAAAATGGTCTGCCAAATGATTCCGACGAATCATCACCTAACATTGATGAAGAAATCACCCAATCGGAAGAGAGTGATGAAATGAGTGATGTGGAGAAGATGGTGAGTTATGAATGTTGCATCAGAATACTCTGCACCAAATCTGCACTCAGTGCCTTGCACGAAGTTCAAAGCACCAATGCATCCTGAAAAACCATCCCTAAGGCACAACCAACTTTCATTCATCTTTGCACCAAAACTTACGAATTCATTTAAAAAAAATTCCTAGATAATTTTTGTAATGTTTTTCCCTGCACACAATTTGCACTAAAAACTAGCCCACTAATAACAAAAAGTTTAAAAAAAGCATCGAACACTAACGAACTATTTTTCTGAAGTGTTTAATTACTTATAGACCTATATAGGATTTTCTCGATATTCTGACAGTAAATATTCTTTTTCTGTATCTCTCCGTCAAATCCAAAAATATTACTGGAATAACACTGCTATAAACTTGAAATCTAGTATTGATAATGAAGTTTCTTTCTTTAAAGATTTTTGTGTCTAGCACAAATTCACAGTCTTTCGCTTACCTTTATAGTCATAATTTACCATAAAATTTCTGGTTCGGATTCGAACGTGATTAATTAAAACATGAATCGTGTTTATGAAAACTGTTGAACAACCCAGACCAGCATTATATAAACGGTTATCCAAACATGAGAAATTCAGTTTCCTGATGTTATTGAAAAATAAATCTTGTTTGGTTTACGACATACGTGCATGTTAACCAAAAAGACATTCTCACTTATTGACCAGCTTACCGATTTAGTTGACCATTCATCAAGCAATGAGGCTTTCAGCAATGATTTTAGTAGAAAAATTGTTCTCCTGAGTTCTAAAAAGTATTAAATGTTTAAAGCCCTTGAATATAAAATATTTATACTATTTATTAGAGCTGAATTTCAAAATCTTCTTGACTTCACTATGCTTTCTTTCACTATAATGTTTATTTAGCAAAAAGTTTTATTCTCCTTTACCAGATTTGACTCTCACAGAATTATATATAAAAATGATTTTACTGGTAAATTTTATATCAATGATTTAGCGGGAAGCTAGAACTTGTTGGGGCTTGCATGCAATTTAATTGTATAAATTATAGTTTTTTTACTTTTTAGAATGTTTGAAATTTTGTCTAGCTTCTATAGAAATTGAATAAAATTACAGATTTTTGTGATATTGCTTATCATAACACCTTTGATCAATGCATCTTTTAAACAGTATTTCGAATAAATTTTAGTTTGTTTAAATAATTATGTAACAATTCGTTTAACACTTCCGTGCAACTAATCTCGGTCTGAAGCAGAGCACGTGTGATGAATTTACGAATAATCAACAACAGTTATCAGCATCTCATAGTTATCGTATTTTTTCTTCCAATCACAAATGAAGAGTTTTAACATGTGTTTGTTATTCCAAATACAAATGATGCTCTGCTATTCCAAGGCTGATTTTCAGAACAGTTTATTCTTCAATTGACTTTTTCCTATGTCAGTCTTTTTATGTAAGTAATGTTGGAATTCCTATTTAATTTCATTAAGAATTATCGAGCAATTCAAAGGGAGAATCGCAAATACGGCGCTGTATTCATTTCCAAATACTTTTTCAACAAATTTTAATGGTACATTTTCTATTTTTCTCGAAAAAAAATTCCTTCCAATTTGTGTTTATCATGAAAAAATGTAATTTATTAAAATTTCTTGATCTTTATTCGGAAATTCATTTGTAAATCTTTCAAATGAGTATATCAGTTCTCAAGGATAATAAGTTTTCCTCAAAGTTTCATATTAAATTTTTACATTAATCGATCCTTGAACAGAATTGAGGAACGTGTATGTCAACAGATCGCTAAATATCCTTCGTTCGATTTGTTCAGAACGCTGTTAAATGCATAATGCTGTTATTTTATTTTGCGCATCATGCGCATTCATACCTTCTTATGATTCGTACAATTGCAAATAGGAGACTCCATGATAAAAATATCACAGTTACTGATCAAAAATAATTTTCTTCGCTTCTTGGGCAAACTCTACGGTATTAGCTACTAACATTTAACTTACTTTCCCAAAGCTCTACCTCTCAAGGAACATGCTAGTTGTTGGCATTGGTGATATTTTTTTAACTGTAAAATGAAGCTCTTTTTGCTAATTATTATTTAATATATACATTTCCTCTGACTTCTCCTCAGAGCGGAGCTGAAAATGGAGAAGAAGGCGAAGAGATAATAGAAGAGCGAAAGGAGTACGTAACAAACCCTGATGGTACAGTCACTGTGAAAACTATCAGAGTAATTTCCACGTACGTCGAAGAGGAAGAGGAGGTAGAAGAAGGCGAAGAAGAGACTAATAAAGACAAAATTAATGAAGAGAAGGAAGAAGACGAAGAGCAAGAGAAAAGTATTCCTCCCATGCCCAGTTTCAGCGATTTGTCGCAAGAAGAGCGTGAAGATTTCATGCGTTTCGCAGCCGAGAAAAAACTAATGGCAAAAATGGAAGCCGCGGGATTCGTTCCACCCGCCAATGACGATGAAGATGGAAAACTCAAGAAAAAGAAGAAGAGGCCGGACGGAGAAAAGAAAGGAAAGAAGAAGAAAAAGCGTGGCGATGGAAAGGAAAACAAGGTATGTTTTTAAATAATGAGTTTCAATTCGTATTTTATTAAAGTTAAGTTAGCGGATGTTTCGGTGCAATTTAAGGGAAATTTTTAGAATTTTTTCGGTGCAAAGATCAAGAGTTCGTAAGATTCTTATGTATCTTCTTATTTCAGGTAATATTTTAGTAAACCATTGGTGTGCAGCATTGCTAAAATTGCAGTGGATTCGCCAATTAATTTCATCATGAATAACAGAATTCTTTTCCTTCACAGGTGCAGCAGAGAGAAATCATTATTTTATACATGTTTTACTTATAAAATTCTAAGTTTCATAAGTTTATATTCTAAACTAATATTTTCCACAAGTGCCACTTATAAACTTACATTTTCTTTACGAACAGTCAAATAACTATTTCTTCGAGTTTCTGCGGTGTCAACGATGACGATTGTGTATATATGTGTATTGTATAAAAATTTGCAAGTTAATAAATAAAAATAATCCATTTCTGTTTGTACAGATCAATAACAACATTTTCACCACTCATCGTCTATGAATATTTTGAAGGCTCGAAATTTTCTCAGTCCTTACATTTTTCTTTGTCTCCGAAATCGCAACCTTCAAATATTCATCCATTTTATGCTAGTTCAATTTCATGAATTTTTCCTATTCATACTCCTTTCCCATTTTCATTGCACTGTAGATCGATTACTTTACTTAAAATTTTTCTTTCGTTACATTCACTTTAAATCCCTTCAATTCGGCGGGTTTACTTTATTAGGTAATTTTTCGTGGTAAAATAATATATTAAATGAATAAAATCACGTATAAATTAACGAAAATTATCGTTGCACATAACAATCATAATTTTGTGACAGATACTTGCAATTTCGTAGTGATAAAGAGTTAGAAAAAAGAGATAGAAATCCACGACTCATGCGATATACGTTAAAATAAATGTATAATTGGTTATTAAATGTATAATAGGTTGTGAATGGATCGAAAATTAATTAATTGCGCATTATCAAAACTTAATCAGATGAAGCGAGCTATTGATGCTGAAGTAGTCTATGATAAATGCATTTATTTGAACAATTGCATATTCATTCGCGTATTTGTGTTTCATTAAAATTAATAAATGAATTTGATGTGTGAGCACTGGAAGGTTTAATTCAAATACATGACTAAATATTCTACTAGGAAATGAGAATTAATAGTTAATATTAATACACTAGGTATGAGCAGAAAATAAAATAGAATCGATGGAGTTGAATGTTGTTAGCATAGAGTTTCTTGTAAAATACCTAATATAATTACTTATATAATTGATAATTGCTTATATATTCAAAGTTAATGGCCGTTTATACAGTGAATATCTAAGAATGTAAAACGGGTTGCCAGAGGGGAAGTGAAACGGAGTCTAATAAAAAGGAGAGTCGATCTGAGGGAGATTGAGGGGTCAAATTAAGGGGGGGGGAGTGAGGGGAGCTAGCGTGTTTCCCTCGGCCATCATGAACGCCAGGCAGTCTCCCTCTGATCTAGCCCTCTGAGTGGCTGTGCTGTGTAGTCGTGTGTTTCTTGTGTGATGTTGTGTCTCCGTTTATTGTATATTCTTATATGTGTAGTCGTGTGTTTCGTGTGTGATGTATCGCTTTTCAATGTGTATTCATATATGTGTAGTTGTGTGTTTCGTGTGTGATGTTGTGTCGCCGTTTACTGTGTATTCTTATATGTGTAGTTGTGTGTTTCGTGTGTGATGTTGTGTCGCCGTTTACTGTGTATTTTTATATGTGTAGTCTTGTGTTTTGTGTGTGATTTATGTGTAGTTGTTAGTCTCATGCGTAATCGTTTTGCACTGTGCTCGTAATTTGTAATTATCAATTAAATTTATTATCATTTTCAATTATTATAATTTTATAACTTAATATGAACATGTTGATGAAATTATCAATTCAATTTGTGTGTTTCATGTGTTATGTGTGGTGCCATTAGGGCCAGTAGTTTCATGAAGATTGAATTTACTGTATATTGGTGTGTTTTTTGTTGCATAGAGAGATGATGTGACTGATGTTTCGTCTTAGGATGTGTTAAGGTGTGTAATGATGCTGATATACTGTGTAATTGTGATGTACTGATTTATATTTTTAATGATACTCTGTTCTGAATACCGCTGGACTCCTAGTTGAATTAAGTGAAATATTAAAGGAAAAATTTTCAGGGTCAACATTCGGTAATGAATTACTCAAAAATTTTCCCCTGCAATACTAGACTCAAAAGAAATTTAATTAACATTCATTCGTTTAGAAATTCGACTCAATGGATTTTGTCTGGCAAGTCAAGTGTGGAAACTGATGTTTAAAACTGAAAATGTTATGTGAAAAAATGGCGGTGGCAATCCGATTTCAAGTTATTCGTGAAATAATTTATTTAATTTCTTGAGGATTAGGATGAATACTCATCTTACGGAGTAAAGTGCAATGCTTCAAAAAAGACAGTAGCTTCAAAATGACTCCAGTTTTTAAATTATTAAATCCAGTTTAAATTATTATTAATTAATAAATTATTATAACTAATTTAGCCTTGATATTCTTTTGCATCAAATTGGTCGCTTCATCCCATTTGTTTTCCGGTCTCAATTATAAAGACCGGAATATTTATAATACCGGAATATTATAATATTTATAATATTAATTATAAACTCTTTTGTAGTCACGTCAGAGATTAATCATCTAATCCATTCATTCATCGTTCTACCCATGTGTCTTTTTTGTAACTTGACTCTTCAATTAATTTTGACCCTTTGATTAACCCATCGAATTCTTGTTGTTTTCATTTTTACTGTCATTCATCTGTCTTCTTCATTCTCCCGAACACTCAAACAAGTAAAAATCAATTATTTTTTCATTCTTCGTTTATACATATCAGAAATTATATATGTGTATCTTGTCTCTTTATCTCTTTTTAATTCTTGGATTTTGATAGTCGGTGCGCATTTCCTCCATCAACAGATAATAATAATGATAATTATTTTTCAGCATTTATTTTTAGTCTCAATGTTTTTTAGGCAGTTTTTGGTGAGCTGCGGATGAAAGCAGTTTATTTTATCTGTTAATTAATACATCTCTTATAGTAATTTTCTGTAAACCAGTGTTTCCCTGCAAATTTCGTGCATCTAATTTTACCAAAAATCTAAAAAATCACTCTGGCTTGTATTATCTATTTTCTAATGAACGCTGCATTTGACACACCTGGATAATGGACTGGGTTGAGTTATTGTGTTTTGATGGGCGTCCTCCTGATCCAGCTACCCAGCCTCAAAATTTTAAAAGGCCCAGAACACCGCCCAGTCCACGGCTCCTTATTGACATCAAAAAGAAAGAAATTTTCCGTAAAAAATGTCAAATAGAGCGAAGAAAATGGCTGAAGGAAGTCGAAAGAATTAAAAAAGAAACGTTGCTCAAGAAGCGACGTATGAAAAAAACAGAACTCACAATCGTCTTCAAAAAAGAAATTTTGGTCGATACATGCACGATTTCTAAACTCGGAAGAAAGTTAACAGAAAATGGTCTGGATAAAACTGAAATGGATTCAATGCCATCTGGAAAAGAAAAAAATGAAGAAAATTCCAGCGCACGCCAAGTTATTTCCAACGATGTTGACATCCCGGTCTCAGATGATGAATCAATGACTAGTGAATTAGTTACGCAAGTCATCAGCAAAATTAAACATCGTACCCCAGCCTCATCTCCAGAATTTCGGAGGTCTGGTTGTGAAACTACGCCTAAGCAAAGGAAGAAAAATGGGATATTTAGTAACCATGGGGCGATGAGTATTGAAATTGCTGATATTCTGAAGCAGCGTCAACTGAGGAAAAAAGGAAAAGATGTTTTCTACATCAACGGAGAGCTTGTAAAAGATCGCAATGTTTCACTTGCACAAAAATCATCTTTATCGCCAAGAAAATATACGGTTAGTGAACTTCCGCAAATGCTTAATCAAGAAAACAAAGTAAAACTAAAGCGTCTTGGACCAAAGTCATCACCTAAAGGAAGCCAAGGCAACATAAATTCTCAGATTGGAAAAGATAATGAAATTTTGGAGCAACGGGAGATATCATCTTCGGTAGAAAAAGATCTTAACCGAGGGATTTTCTTCGACGAAATTAAAAGAATCGAGCCTGGTCCGAAATATGTCAAGAAATCAATTGCAAAAAATGCCTCCAAATTTCTTTCAGCAGGAAAAATTGAAAGTCAGTCTTCAATTTCTAGAGGTAAAATTCAAGAATTAATCAACGTGTTCGAAGCGGAATACCATCTGAATTCACCACCAAAAATTTCAGGAACTTTTTCTGAAAAAAGCGATTGGTCTTTAAAGGAGTGCGACGATTTGCTTAGTTCGCGCCGAGACGAAATATCAGATTTTGAAAAAATGTATTTGTTTTTAACTAATTCGGCCCCACCTGTAAAGAAGCGCACGATTTTCTCGAAAAATTTAAAACGACGTTGCAGTCACGGAACTGTATCGAAAATTCCTAGTTTAGGATACATCAAAGAAGAGGAAGAAAATGGGCGTTCAGAAAATTCAGACGCTGATGCAAATTGCCATGTTTCTAAAGTCATGAATTCGTGTGAAAAGATTAAGAGTTTAGAACCCAACTCTTTAGTTTGCTGGCCGAGTCAGCAATTGTCTTCGGCAAATGTAAACGATCGCGAAGTATGTGATGGGACTTTGATATTTGATAAATATAAATCAGGAAAACTTGCTGGCGAAAAAGACATGACTATGCTTATCTGCAACAGTTTCAATTCAGTCGCCGATTCTCCTTCAAGAGACAATTCAAAGATTTTAGATGAAATTGGCCCAACGGAAAAACAAAAACCCAAGAAACCTATTCTCAAGAGTTACCAAACTCAAGGAAAATCAAACACCCACTCTACATGTGTCCCAAAGGTAAACATGAAGCGATACAAAGAATTTAATCGCTGGGGTGAAATTAAATCGCTTAAAAAAGTCCAATTCGTTCTTGGGAA